ACATCCCATAAACATATTGTATGCAATATATACAACATACTGTAAATACTCTGTAAACATCCCATAAACATATTGTATGCAATATATAAACATACTGTAAATACTCTGTAAACATCCCATAAACATATTGTATGCAATATATAAACATGCTGGAAATACTTCGCTGTAAACATCCATAAACATATTGTATGAAATATATAAACATACTGGAAATACTCTGTATACATCCATAAACATATTGTATGCAATATATAAACATACTGCGAAATTACTCTGTAAACATCCCATAAACATATTGTATGCAATATATAAACATGCTGGAAAATACCTCTGCAAACATCCATAAACATATTGTATGCAATATATAAACATGCTGGAAATACTCTGCAAACATCCCATAAACATATTGTATGCAATATATAAACATACTGGAAATACTCTGTAAACATCCCATAAACATATTGTATGCAATATATAAACATACTGTAAATACTCTGTAAACATCCCATAAACATATTGTATCAATATATAAACATAACTGTAAATACTGCTGTAAACATCCCATAAACATATTGTATGAAATATATAAACATACTGGAAATACTCTGTAAACATCCCATAAACATATTGTATGCAATATATAAACATGCTGGAAATACTCTGTAAACATCCCATAAACATCCCGTAAACATGCTATAAACATACTGTAAACATACTGTAAACATGTTGTATACATGTTGTATACATGTTGTAAACTTGCTATAAACATACTATAAACACACTGCAAACAGACTGTAAACAATGCAAACTGCCCCTGTAAACATCTTGTAAACATTGCTTTAAACACCGTGTAAACAGCCTATAAACATTATGCGTAAACATTACATGAACATTACCATAAACTGCTGTAAAAAATATTGTAATCATGCTATACATGTATGATATATATGCTGTAAGATTTGCTGTAAGTACCCCGAAACTAATGCTTCATAAACTGCCTGCTTTCTCTTCTTTCCCACCCTTCTCACTTACGCTGAAGGGGTTGTTGTCGTATAGGTACCCGAGGTAATGCTAGTCTAGGGAGTCGCCTACGCCTACTCCTAACCCTAACCCTAACCCTAACCTAATTATAACCATATCAGATAGTTACCTCGGGTACATATATGTAGTACCCTATACGACAATGACCCTTCGTGCCTCACTTAGTTACGCTCAAGGGGTCGTTGTCGTAACAGGTACTACAGATATGTACCCGAGGTACATATATGTATACACAAAGTGTACCAGACTTGTACTACAGAAGTGTACCTAACCCTAACACTAACCCTAATCCTAACCCTAACCCTAACTCTAACCCTAACCTAACCCTAACCCTAAACATACCTCATATAAAAAATAAAACATACTACTAAAACAACTAAAAACTACCTGCGGGTACATATCTGTAGTACCTGTTACGACAACGACCCTTCGTGCCTTAGTTACTGTTAAAACACCTACTGGTTTCTTTTGGCAAAATATGATCTTTCGCTCTGTTTTTTTTTCAATGCGATTCAACTAGGTTTCAATGCGTTTATTAACCATTACAATGTATTTTTTGCAGTATTAACGTGCGTGAACTCGTCTTTGTTACCACTGCCGAGCTGTTATGATGTTTTGTAAACAGTCACTACAATCTTATACTCAATATGAGATCATTTACGATCTAATAGCTTTTCTTAAACTTCAAACACTAAATGCCTAAAATAATTTATCGCTATGTGTTAATTTCCGCGTATATGTGACATGTTTCTGTGCTTTACGTTTCAGAGTTTGAGTTTGATGGATTGTCAGCAACGAGTGCTGCAGGAGTACTGGTGGCCATGAAGGATGTATCCTTGACGTAGTGTCAGTGCAGACACAGCATCCTCCTATTACTGCCCCTGCGCCCTTGCCCTGCTCCCTAGGTCAAGCCACCTGCCGCCGCTGCCTACTCCCTAGTCAAGCCCCCTGACCCCAGCCTGCTCCCTAGTCAAGCCGCCTGCAAGTGCTGCATTGCCTGTCTATTTCCCAATGCTTTCTCCTACTTGCCTCACACCCTCCCTTTCCTTCTCAATCATACCATCCTCCTTCAATCTATTTCCTGCTAACAGGCCTCCCCCCCATTAATCTTGCATTATCAACCTCTCTCTCCCACAACCTTTCCTTCCCTTAATCCTTCCTCTCTCCTGAACCACCCTCTTCAGTCCTTCCTCCCACTTGATCCTCCTTCTCCCTCTGTATTCAGTTATGCTGCCCCTCCCCTTTACTCCTCCACCTCAACGCTCTCTGTCAACATTACATGGTCATGTAAGCTTTCTTAATGACGTCATTCGTCAGGTTGATAGATCGGGAGAACTGAGTCTATCTGAGTTTAGACAGCTGTGGAGAGATGTACGCTGGTGGAAGGTAGGTGCATGCTGGGAGATAAACAAGAGAGCATGTCTATTATCAATGATTGTTATGTGCTAGCTTGACCATCACTTAATTCGTGCATCTTTACTTAATCGTGTAACCTTAACCACTGTGTGTGCGCCTGTGGCACTTGCACTGTATAGGGAAGGTGAGCAGAGTTTGAGTGGTCCTTAACATTGATAGAAACAAATATCAATAGTCCTGACTCGCACACCATATGAACTTAATTGAAACCTAATTTAATTCACGTCCATTTCTATTTCATTTAAACTTGTTATATTTGCATGCTATTTTTTATCAGGCAGTTAACTAGATGCAGTTTTTGGACGTATGTTCCAAATTGTTGACTTTGCTACCTTTCATTACCAATTAAGCATTATTTGCACTTTTATTACACCTGGTGGCAGATGTGTTGCTCATTTACTACATCTATATGGTGAGGCTATTCAAGCTATAGCCTCTCTCGTAGTGATGTGTGTATGTGTCATGCTTATATGTGTGATGCTAGGTTGTGATGCTTACATCGGTTATGCTTGGTTTCAGAATGTGTTCAAGGAGTACGATACAGATCAGAGTGGATGTCTGACGACGTATGAGTTGAGAGCAGCGATGCACGCGGCTGGTACGTGTAGATAAGCTTGTAGTGTACTAGTAGCACATATATACACCATATATCAGGACCGTAGCTAACCTACCATGGAGGGGGAAGGGAAAGCCATGTGCGCGGTTTATTCTGAGAAGGCAGTGGCAGATCCAGAAGTGAATTTTAAGAGGGGTGGTGAATCATGGGAGATAAAGGGCACGAAGTGCCCGAGAGGGAGGGTGTTAGGTTAAAATACCCTTGCCCTGAAAATCTTGGGTCGGCGACCGCCCTCTGTGGATCAGCCTTTGGATCCTTTGGATCAGCCACTGGAAAGCTACCACCATTTACCATATAGTGTACTCATTCAAAGTGCAACTGCTAGTGCAGACGTTTTTTACTACAGTTCCTGGAAAGCCCAATGATTCATATCTATGAATGCTGTAGCGACTTTTAACACTATGTTTGGATTGTAATAATTCAACACAACACGTGGTTGTGCAAGTCGGCAGCGTTATTGATTCAGCCATTCAACGACTTCCAAACCCGTGGCGCCATCTCTCGGTAGATAACTCTTGTAAATCCTCAACACAGGTTACAATCTTAGCTCTGACGTGCTGAAGACATTGGTTCTGCGCTATGGCAAGGATTCCAAGATCTCCTTCGAAGATTTCATCCTGTGTGCTGTTAAACTGAAGAACATGATAGGTGAGATGGGAGTAATTTCGAGATTCAAATGTATTGACCTCTCGATGATAGTTATCAGGAGTTCTATTGTTCAAACATATTTCACTCAGATAAGGTGAGTTATATGGCTCACAATTGCTAGGCATTGCTGGGGTGGTTATTACGGCCGCTGCTTAGCCAATAGAAAAGCACAAGGTGTTGTAGAAAATCCATAGGAAACGGGTGACCAAGTACTGTGGGAAAAACTGAAACATAAATAATGAATAATAATAATAAATAGATAAATTGATAAATCATGTAAAATCGCTCCCTGATTTCAGACAAGTTCCAAGACATTCCTGGAGCAGAGAACATGGACACGAATGAAGTAAGTGAGTGGATGTGTAATGCTCTCTACTGAGGGGGCACCACCAGAGGGCACCACCAGATCATACCACTGTTACGCCCATTACATAGTTGCTTATTTCAGTGGGCGAAAGCCACTATCTTACATTCGTGTCCTATTATGTTATCTATCCGGTGACTGTAGGTTTCACCATCTATCTAAAGCAAGATCGTGTAAGCACCTAATAGAGTAGTTGAGATGATGTATATTCTATTGTCATAGATATTATGTTTTTATCAACTATTTTATTCCTGTATTCTCACTCTCACTCTCACTCTCACTCTCTGAGAATATCTAAATTTGACAAGGTACTGTGTCATCACTGTAGCATATGTGTTGAACCGCACGTTTAAAACCTGTTGCTTGTGTTTTCTGCTCGCTGGTCTATACTGCATTACGGCATGCTTATCTGTGTGTGTGTGTGTGTGTGTGTGTGTGTGCGTGTGCATGCGTGTGTGCGTGTGTCGTGTGCGTGTGCAGGCGTGTGTGCGTGTGTCGTGTGCGTGTGCGTGTGCGTGTGCGTGTGCGTGTGCGTGTGTGTATGCAATGAATGCCTGTCACTGTGTCCTATTGTATGAACGCTTTTAAACCAAGTGTGTTACGACACCAAAGAAAAATAATGATTAAGCTAAATTATATGCGTATATGACGTCATTATTAATTAACCACTACAGGGAAGCGTAGCGCTGAGTGTTTCTATATGGTTCTAATGATGTTGTTATTGCGAATATGTAATGATCAAACTCATCAACACATGCAACGTGCGAGTCACGACGTGTAGCATGTGCGCCCAGCAGCATTGCATGACAGGCGTGTTTATCGCAATGTGGTTGGATTCATCGACTCTATATCTGGTAAGCTAGATCTGCAAATAGCAGAGAAATTATCTCATCATCAGTATCTCTCTCGTTGCTGTGTTAATTCAAATGTTGTTGCTGTTGCTGTGTTTGGTGTTGTTGTTGTTGTTGTTGATGCTGCTGCTTGTGATGTCTGCGTCGTTGTTTGCATGCCAGAATCACAGCAGGCTTATGCTATGCAAGAGGGTTATGATGAGGTACCCTAAATTCGAATGCACGGTAAAATATTTTGAGCCTATATTTTTCTTCTCTGTAAATATTTCTACTTCTCACAATCAGTTGTTGACTAATTTACTGAAGCATGCCGAAAAATAAAGGTTAACAGTCCACAAATAAAAATAGATGAAACAAAGTTCTATGGCAAAGAAAAGTGGCGGTTTCACGCTAATGTTGGTTTCTAGAATGGTATCACATATCACGCCAAACAAAATTTCATGATGGAAATCTTTGTTTTTGCTTTTCACGCTAACGTTAAATGTATGGACATTGCACGTGTCGCGTTACATCTCATCATTGCTCTCCTGCAACGTTTGCTTTGCTGTGCACTGTACTACTGATTCCACTTGCTCATCTGTTAAATGCAGGTGACAGCATATATATGTGCATGGCATGCATCCGTGTTTACTCTCCGTATGCTCATTGCTATCATTCTATATTCTTCCTGGAATTTAAAATTGTATAAAATCTCGACCTTACAGTGTTTGCGATATTAGCTGTGTAAGAAATTAGGGAAAGATAAATTCCATAATTACACTCCAGGTGTTGGTAAGCAAATCGACTCATCAATCACATTAATCTTGTTTTGTATTTAACACAGGCACTAGAATTACTCGGTAGACTAGGAGTGCGTTATTTAACGTTGTTAGAGTAGCGTGATAACATTCGTATTGCTGGTGATAAACGTTGACAAATGTTGTCTCCATACATTGCCCACGTAAATTATCAACAAACTCAATACTGCAGTCTTTATGTTAACCCATTCGACCGTGTAACATGGTGAGTGCCACTATAATTTGATCCGCCACACATCAACCCCGTCCAGCTCACGTGCCTATAATTTGATCCGCCACACATCAACCCCGTCCAGCTCACGTGTCTATAATAAGGTTAAACGTTGATGGCTGACATTCGTAACAGAAATGAGTAACATCACATGGCTGTATTACTGCGACGATCAGCATATGTTTCGATAGCTCAGAGTATGATCGTGAACTCACGCACGAACTCGGCTATCTCCAAAGGTGAATGCAGATACCCTAGAACAGATTACTATCAGAATATATTGTTTATTCAGAACATTCCTATTCAGAACTATTAGTGTTCTATTGTCTCTCGGCTGTATGCATTGGGTGTTGCTATCCCACGGGCGTGGAGGGAGGTCACGTGATAACGTTGACGATGACGTTCAAAACATTAACCCTAACGGTAACTCTAACTACAAGACCTCCAACACTAACCCTACACTAAATATATATATGTCGCAGCGCTATATATAGGCATTGTTATCCACACAAATTAATCTATGGTGTGGGGACAGATATCATGATGCAAAAACCCTAACCCTAACCCTAATCCTAACCCTAACCCTAATCCTAACCCTAATCCTAACCCTAATCCTAACCCTAACCCTAACCCTGACCCTAATCCTAACACTAGTGCTGCCACGTTGCGGTCACCTCCCTCCACGCCCGTGGGATAGCATTACCCATACAGCCGTATGCATTCACCTTTGGAGATGGCCCAGTTCGTATGTGACGTCACGATCATACTCTGAGCTATTGAAACATATGCTGACCTACTGCGACGTACTTGAAGCCAAATGGCTCCACCTATTGGGATAAGTCGTGAACCTCTGTATACAATAGATTCGACTGATTGCACAGATAGGTTCATTCCTGCATGAATTCTCGAACCTCGTGTATTTTGTTTAACGTGATGATGGTGTGAAGGTGGGAGATGTATGGAGCAACACTAATGAGCAACATTTATAGATATCAATAGATAGACTAACGTGTTACGTAGCAACATACGTACTAATAACGTGATGTAACCTAGCAATTGTTGAAACTAACTGTAATATTGTTGCAGGCAGCATTCTCGTTCTAATATCTAATATCTCCCCATTCTTTCCAGTGGATATTACTCACCATGTATACCTAACTTACCCCTGCTGCCACCTAGTGTCGACAAGCACAAACCACCGCCGGCTCTGCACTCGCACCGCTTTTGTGTAGATGTTTTAGAAAGTAGCCACTAGATGGGGCTGATGTCGAGAGCTGTCTTCAAGCCGATCGCTTACAGATTATGCAGATCATTTTCTCATGCGATGATTTATTTAGCACTGCTAGCAAACGTTACTGCCAAAGCTATTGGTTAGCGCACCAACACCTAGTTAGAGTCCTGGAAACTTCTGTGCCATGTTCTTCTCACCAGCTTTCCTATGCAATTTTTCAAAGATATCCATTTATCTCCCAGATCATTAGATGACATAACTAACAGTTCAATCAATGTCCCAATGTATCTATCTGATGAAAATATGTGTAAGAGTCCAAAGCCAACTCATATTTCTGGGTGCGTATTTTATTGTAAGAATTCGTGCAAACAAACGACCTGATCTGACCTGACGGTCCTGACCCTACCCTGATAACAGAACAGAGAAATCATGCCAGTGTGATGATCAACGTTTCATACAACATCAGAATAGCATCTCTTTAGTTTCGCCCAGACTCAGTATCCTATACATGTCAGAAAGTATCTTAACTATGTATCGTCAACAATGTCGTCTTCATGAAACAGGCATTACCTTCCACTGGTACTTTACACCATATTCGAGGGTATGTATGGAAGAAAATATCTTCATCACACATCGCTTGTATATTTACTATTAACCACGACACCTCCGTCGTCATGCACCTACCCAGTGGGTGCGAACCCTTTGTATATAAATCTCCACACAGAAACTTTTGTTAAATATATAAGAGAGAAACAATATTGAACAGATGCACTGTAACATTTAAACATTGGAATCAGTTACTAAAAATAGACTCTACCCTATGCAGGCAAATTACACTCACCCCAGCTACACTACACAGTACAGTCAGGGGCGTAGCTAGGTTGAAATGGATGTGTACGTACACAGGCGGGGGGTCTGGGGGTCCTTGCCCAGAAAATTTTGAAAATGTAGATCACAGGAGATGGTATTTGAGGCACCTTTGAGTAAATATACAGCCTTCATTCTGACTACGACAATTATCTTTTTAGTAGATCTATTCTCTTCATGAGCAACAAGATAGTTTAACATAGGGGGGTAGCTAGCCACCCAATCCACCCCACCCCAAATCCGCCACTGATGTAGTAAGGTTGTGAGTAGAGATATCTCAATAGACATATGTCGATACGAGGACCAGTCTACGCTGGATGACTGTGTGAACATGGTTGAATCAAGAGATCAAATATTCGTTTAAAATCAATGAAAAATAAATTCACGCTAAACCCTAAATAAAATATAATGGTTTACGGTAAATAAACAGATGCTTTCACGCTAACGCTAATTTCTATCAGGGTATCACGAGTCTGACTGACTGACTCTCTCTCTATATATATATCTCTCGCCCTCTCTCTCTCTCTCTCTCTGCGATAAAAAAATGTTTGGTGAAATCATGTGTACCCAACTGCGTATCTGCGTTATGGTAGCTACGCCCCTTACAGTATAACGTATGTACAGGAACTTCCGACTCATTGACAGTGTTCATCTACCAACTCGATCCATGGCCATACCAGTGACGCTAAAAACACAATTGAATTAATGGGCTAACAAAAATTCCTATTTGGTGAATCCTTAGTAAACAATTACAGGAAAATTACTATTGAAATAATATCCTATCAATAGCAGATGCCACTGACTGACAAACTATACTACATCAGCAATTATGACAATAGCAACTTGATCAATCATTGACCCGTGTCATTCTAAACATTCCGTCAATGCAAACACAATCTTTATCACTAAGACATCACACTGGCTAGTATAATTCACGTTTATAACAAAACACATTCAATTTACAAATCATCATCCACATTATGTAACCGTCTTGCAATACCAATGAAATGGCTACCATGCCATTTTCACCCATTTGCCGTCTGCTCAGTACGACGGGATTATCCTGCATTTTACAGTGTATAGTTTAGGGAAACATACACTTATTTACGTTCTAAGACCCTTTAGGGACAAGATCATATAGTTTTCAACAGAAAAACACTCACCCTAACGTCGATGATTAGAGATTATAATCGGCAGTTCGATGCATACAAAGATCCTGCTAATGCCACTACATCTTTGAAATTTTTGTATACTTTAAATTATTTCATGGAACAAATATTGCCTGACATATCCGCTAATCTCAAAAGATTTCACTGATCAGTTGATGCCTCAAATTTTCTTATTAATTAATTTATGCCTCACATTGTCTCACTAATAAAATGGTGGCCGTTATTGTTGTACTAATCCAAACACAAAATATTTCCTAAATTGTTACACTAATGCACTGTCATTGACAGTAATGCCAGAAACGAAAGTAAACTGAGGAAAAGGGAAATTTAAAGTATATGCTGTATGTCTCTTCAGAAAGTGCAAAAAGTTAGGATTAGTATTGAAATCCGTAAATATTTGATAGAAAGCTAAACACAGCTCTAGACTGGTGTGGAGGCAAGAGTCAGGCCATTTATCATGCAAGGCTAGATAGACTTGACATAACAGTCAAGTGTAGCATGATGCCTGCGTAGATGGCCACGTGACACTGGTGGCGTATATATTGCATTTTTCTTAACTATTCCTTAATTGTTGCTGGGTGCCAGAGAGAAGATAAACAATTCCATGTAGTCTGCTATGGCAACAGCTTCCGTTTAGAGGCACTTCTTCACATCTTGTAGAGAGTAATATGAAAGTAGATTTTTTTACTGCCACCACAAGCTATTTACATAAGGTGCTGCAGCATAATATATATATATATATATATATATATATATGCATAACATTTTAATTGCCAAATATGAACGGATTGCCCAGAGATACCAGAGGAAAGACTACCTATGATGTCAACAAGGTTAGGCTGATAGCAACAAGGTTAGACAGAAGGCAACAAGGTTAGGTTGATGGCAACAAGGTTAGGTTGATGACAACAAGGTTAGGCTGATGGCAACAAGGTTAGGCTGACGACGTGTAGCATGTGTGCCCAGCAGCATTGCATGACAGGCGTGTTTATCGCAATGTGGTTGGATTCATCGACTCTATATCTGGTAAGCTAGATCTGCAAATAGCAGAGAAATTATCTCATCATCAGTATCTCTCTCGTTGCTGTGTTAATTCAAATGTTGTTGCTGTTGCTGTGTTTGGTGTTGTTGTTGTTGTTGTTGATGCTGCTGCTTGTGATGTCTGCGTCGTTGTTTGCATGCCAGAATCACAGCAGGCTTATGCTATGCAAGAGGGTTATGATGAGGTACCCTAAATTCGAATGCACGGTAAAATATTTTGAGCCTATATTTTTCTTCTCTGTAAATATTTCTACTTCTCACAATCAGTTGTTGACTAATTTACTGAAGCATGCCGAAAAGTAAAGGTTAACAGTCCACACATAAAAATAGATGAAACAAAGTTCTATGGTAAAGAAAAATGGCGGTTTCACGCTAATGTTGGTTTCCAGAATGGTATCACATATCACGCCAAACAAAATTTCATGATGTAAATCTTTGTTTTTGCTTTTCACGCTAACGTTAAATGTATGGACATTGCACGCGTCACGTTACATATCATCATTGCTCTCCTGCAACGTTTGCTTTGCTGTGCACTGTACTACTGATTCAACTTGCTCATCTGTTAAATGCAGGTGACAGCATATATATGTGCATGGCATGCATCCCTGTTTACTCGATATCTCCGTATGCTCATTGCTATCATTCTATATTCTTCCTGGAATTTAAAATTGTATAACATCTCGGCCTTACAGTGTTTGCGATATTAGCTGTGTAAGAAATTGGGGAAAGATAAATTCCATAATTACATTCCAGGTGTTGGTAAGCGAATCGACTCATCAATCACATTAATCTTGTTTTGTATTTAACACAGGCACTAGAATTACTCGGTAGACTAGGAGTGCGTTAACGTTGTTAGAGTAGCGTGACGTTGACAAATGTTGACTCCATACATTGCCCACGTAAATTATCAACAAACTCAATACTGCAGTCTTTATGTTAACCCATTCGACCGTGTAACATGGTGAGTGCCACTATAATTTGATCCGCCACACATCAACCCCGTCCCGCTCACGTGCCTATAATTTGATCCGCCACACATCAACCCCGTCCAGCTCACGTGTCTATAATAAGGTTAAACGTTGATGGCTAACATTGGTAACAGAAACGAGTCACATCACATTGCTGTATTACTGCGACGATCAGCATATGTTTCGATAGCTCAGAGTATGATCGTGACGTCACGCACGAACTCGGCTATCTCCAAAAGTGAATGCAGAGACCCTAGAACAGATTACTATCAGAATATATTGTTTATTCAGAACATTCCTATTCAGAACTATTAGTGTTCTATTGTCTCTCGGCTGTATGCATTGGGTGTTGCTATCCCACGGGCGTGGAGGGAGGTCACGTGATAACGTTGACGATGACGTTCAAAACGTTAACCCTAACGGTAACTCTAACTACAAGACCTCCAACACTAACACTACACTAAAATATATGTCGCAGCGCTATATATAGGCATTGTTATCCACACAAATTAATCTATGGTGTGGGGACAGATATCATGATGCAAAAACCCTAACCCTAACCCTAATCCTAACCCTAACCCTAACCCTAATCCTAACCCTAATCCTAACCCTAATCCTAACCCTAATCCTAACCCTAACCATAACCCTGACCCTAACCCTAATCCTAACACTAGTGCTGCCACGTTGCGGTCACCTCCCTCCACGCCCGTGGGATAGCATTACCCATACAGCCGTATGCATTCACCTTTGGAGATGGCCGAGTTTGTGCGTGACGTCACGATCATACTCTGAGCTATCGAAACATATGCTGACCTGCTGCGACGTACTTAAAGCCAAATGGCTCCATCTATTGGGATAAATCGTGAACCTCTGTATACAATAGATTCGACTGATTGCACAGATAGGTTCATTCCTGCATGAATTCTCGAACCTCGTGTATTTTGTTTAACGTGATGATTGTGTGAAAGTGGGAGATGTATGGAGCAACATTAATGAGCAACATTTATAGATAGCAATAGATAGACTAACGTGTTACGTAGCAACATACGTACTAATAACGGGATGTAAGTGACTCGCACGTTGCATGTGTTGATGAGTTTGATCATTACATATTCGCAATAACAACATCATTAGAACCATATAGAAACACTCAGCGCTACGCTTCCCTGTAGTGGTTAATTAATAATGACGTCATATACGCATATAATTTAGCTTAATCATTATTTTTCTTTGGTGTCGTGACACACTTGGTTTAAAAGCATTCATACAATAGGACACAGTGACAGGCATTCATTGCATACACACACACACGCACACACACACACACGCACACGCACACGCACACGCACACGCACACG